TGCTAATGATCCATTGTTAGGCTGATGGTCCTCCTTGATCATGTGAGCAGCTGGTTCTGGTTGTCAGCAGCAAAACTGGTTGATCCACTCTGAGAAGGTGCTATTTAAGAGACTGAGCTGAATACAGCACCTCAGACTGAGGAAGTCTTTCAGATGAAAGACTAAACGTTTATATTTTTTTGTTTGTTTGTTTTGTTCTTTTGAATGTCCAGAGGACCAGATTTAACTTTTTTGGATTATAGGAAAATATATTGTTAATCTGAACTCACCAAGCTTCCATCAGTAAGGCAATTTTTAGACTCTTTGGATCTTCCTTCAATTGGTGTTGAACAAAATAAATGGATATTTGCAGATATTACACTAGCAGAGGTTGATTAAAGCTATCTCAAAACTGAAAGCAAGCAAGGCTCCAGGAGGAGATGGATTACCAGCTGAATGGTATAAGACTTAGGAAGTCTATAATACCTCTGCTGTTAAATTTTTTAATTATGTGCTTAAAGGGGGCGAGATCCCACCATCATTGAAACAAGCAATAATATCCATCATAACAAAACCAGGAAAAGATAAAACTGAGTGTAATTCATACGGCCAATCTCTGTCCTCAACCCTGATTATAAAATATTTACTTCAATAATTGTTAGCAGACTAGAAAATATTTTTCCTGAATTGATGGATACAGACCAGACTGGATTTATTAAAAATAGACGTAATGTGAGGCGAACACACCTTATCAACATCATTAGTTGAAATAATTTGAAATCCTGAAGCAATTTGAAGCAATTAGTTTTGATGCCAAAAAAAGCCTTTGATTCCTTACATAGGGAATATTTATATCTGGTCCTACAACAGTTTGGCTTTCATAATACAATCATAAAGTGTCTAAAATCAATATACTGTACAATCTGCCAATAGCCCGCATCAAAATAAACTGTGGCCTTTCAGGCACAATCTCTAACCTCATGTCCTGCCTCCACCAATTTTGACTCTATTCAGGTTATAAATTAAACGTAGAAAAAAACTCAGACCTTATGCTTTAACTACTCATCCTGAGAGGATTTAAGTAAATTGTTCAAATTTAAATGGAAAACAAAAACCATGAATTTTTTTAATATTACTAAAAATCTAAACAAAATATTTAAAGCAAACTACGGTACTATGACAAAGTAAAACATTATGTGCGCAGATGGGCTCCTTTGACACTCAATTTACATAACTGAATAGAAATTATAAAGATGATTGTTTTACTCCAACTTTTATTCCTTTTTCAATCATTATCAGTGGAAATTCCTACTAAGCATTTTAATGAGTGGAACCAATTAATTTCTAGGTTTATATGGCAAAACAAAAACCAAGGGTATGCTATAAAACATTACAATTACCAAGAGATGAAGGAGGAATGTCACTCCCATGTTTGGAAAATGATTTTAGAGCAGCACAGCTGCAGTGTGCTGTTTACTGGTGTGAAGAGGGGTATGACGCAAAGTGGAAAGAACTAGAATTAAGTCATATTGACATCCCCTTTCAAGCTCTACTGGGTGATAAATACCTCAAGACTACATATTTAGAAAAGTTGTGCGTTTTGACAAAAGTCCCTCTCAACATCTGGTTCAAGGAGTTTCGTAATCTAGAAAAGCGAACTCAGTTATTAAGATGGATCGAACATGATAGGGATTTTAGACCAGCACAACTTGACTCTAGATTCAAGAAATTGACCAGAAAAGTCATCACCTCATACTGTGTGATCTGATCTGGAATCGACATGGATAGCTTCCAACAACTGCAGGAAAAATTTGACCTTGACAAGCAAGACTTTTTTAGATATTTGCAGCTCAGACATCATTTTAATAAAAATGTTAAATTATTAGAAATAAATGATCAGGACCTCATAAATATCTTTATTGGTGCTTATAGAGGTAAATTATGTAAGAAGAGGCTATCAAGAGTATACGTATGTTTAGAAGCCTTCACTTACATTAAAAATACATGGGTGAAGGAGGCCAAAATAATACTGATGGAAAATGAGTGGCTAAACATGTGTGTTACGCCCCGAGGTCTATGGTATCAGGGGGTGTAACATAAAATGTGTCCAGAGGAAAAAAGATGGAGTTGATTGATTTTTAAAAAGGGGGTTTATTACAAAGAAAAAATGTTCCACAGACAAATACTCTTTGACCCAACAAAAATGTAGTAAAGTGGGTCAAATGCTGCCTCAGCAATTAAATAAAAATAAAAATCAAACAAGTCAGTCTAGTCCAGACTCAAAACAACCCAAACTAAAGACATTAAAAGGTTCAAAAACTTTCCGAGTAGTGATGATAGTATGAAACAAAAGCTTCAAAACATGCTTCGAACCCTGCAGTAAAATTACATGGGACCACTGCTTCGGAGCCTGTTTTGGTGCGGAAAAAGTCACGTGACACGTGACGTCCGAAACACAAACTGTTTCGTTGTCGGAATGAATCGCTTGACTGGTTCATGGTCCAAACAGCTGATTCCCTGGAACCGCCTCGTCTCGATTCTGACAGGTGACAGGTTGAGACAGTTTTGAATTGAGAACGCTCAACACTATAAAGCAGCTCTAAAATGTTTGTAATGTGTTGGAGAGTAGGTGCGTTTTTACAGTTAGTTGAAATTGAGTAATTATAGAGGCAGCCAAGAAAAAGAGGTCGTTCTAACATGTGGGAACACTTCATTCTGCTCATGATGAGGTGGTTTTGGCATTTAAATGTCTAAAAAGTTATAGTAATGTTCAGCAGTGACGATATTATTGTTGGATTTAATATTTTATACATTTTTATAATTCCTATCAAGCACTCAAATGTCATGTCACATAAAGGGTGTGCGTGTCTTTCTTCCAAGGTTGAACTATGTTTATAGAAAATGTTTGCTAATTCTAACTAGTTGACCTTTAAATATAATCTCATAGTAGCTAAAGATTATTTTACAAGTTCACATTTGATAGATTACAAGCAATCAAATCATGCCATAAAGTTAGAACACATCTCTTTAATTTAGACAATATAGTTTGACTAAGTAAAATCAAATTAAAAGTATAACCATGATCCAAATAAAAACATGAACATAAGTTAGATAATATAATTATTCCTAGAAATAAACAACTTTATTTCTAATCAGTTGGTATCACTAAGGTATAATCACGTTAAACAAACAGTGTTAACAGTTTAAACGCAGACAAGGAAACTAAGATGAATCTGCCTTACAAAACAGAATCACCAGGCCTTCAACAGATATTGAATTAACACCAATGAGGTAGGTAATAATTAATAGTTATTAATTATTACGTGTAAACAATTTAGACCCAAATCAATTTGTATCCCTAAAGTATAATAGCAAGTTAAACTTTAAACAAAAGCCGATTTCGGTGTACCAAAACTTATCTGAAATATAGACGTTAACGTCCTTGAGGGGGCGGGCTAAGTCGTAACCATAGCGACAGAAGCTGAACCAATCAGGAAGCTAGCCTTCTCAAACGGGGATAAAAGGCCGGAAATGACACACGCCCACCGAGCATTTTCTGGGAGGCGCACATGGCGACGGTTCGTTCTTAATGCTCCATTTATATGCATATATCTTATTAATGTAATTGTTTGTCTCTGAATATCTGTAACCCATGTTGTGTCAAATAAATCTTTTATACGAAGGGCGACGCCTCAGCCGTTTTGAACACGACGTGGTTCTCTAGCCACAACATTATCTAACCCATTTAAACCATGTATTTAATATAATTACAGTAAAATGATGTATGTGATTTTAATAATCATATATCAGTATGGGCTCAAATTATTATTTTTCATTTACATTAGTGTATTTGTGCAGGTGCAGTGTTTGGTGTGTTCAACTGAACTGAAGCATCATGACACCTCCTCTATGATTAGACACTTCCGCACCAAACATGGAGATGCTGGAGATGTTATTTCATTGATATTTTTAAGAAGGATAAAGACTCGGACTCTGCCACAAGCATAATACCATTGCAACATTTTTATTAAATCTCTTCAATGCACATTTATCAATCTTTATTCAAAAACATGAAAGCATAAATAAATTTTCAAACTAGACGACGTAGAAAGTTGATGAATTAAAAAAAAAAATTGTTTTTTTACCACCACAGTAAAGTAGTTTCTTTAACTCTAGTCACTGAAGTTCTTGGTGTGTGCCACCAAAAACATAACGCCTAATTTGACAGCAGCATTGCAAAATGCCACAAGAGGTCACTGTAACTGAAGCTTCAACAAATGAACCTATTTTTTAAACAATTGGCCCAACTGGTTCAATGCTTTATAAAAGCTTCATTTGCTCATCACTATTTCCAAGTACAAGTTTTTAAATTTGAAACAACCAGTCAAACTCAAAACCAAGCTGCTAAGCAGAGCAAAAAGGGATCAGGAGTACAAAATATTCTAAAGTTGCCCAAACAGTCTTCAAAAGCTACAACAACCAAAGTGGGGGTCAGCTGTACAAAACTTCTGCCTAAAACTGACCCATTGAAGGAATGATTCCAGGTGGACCTCATCATCTGATTGGTGAGGCAATCTCCTACTGGTCCAATGGTGATGCTGTTCTGCAGCCTCCTGGCAGCCAATCAGCTGAGTGTGCTCCCACACCTGAATCTGCATAAACAAAGATAGAGACTACACAGACTCTAGACACCAGGGGCCATAACTGATTATTCCCCCAACAGCTTACTCCAAAGTTGAACAAACCAGTTCTGCTTGTAATTAGATGAAGCCTTCCAGATCGAAGGTGAAACGTTTCAGCACAAAAAAAGAAACTGTCCAGATGACCTGACTGAAAAATGTTGGATTTTATACCTGGATTATTGAGCATGGACTTTGTTGTTTCAACTATTACTTTTTGTTTGACATCTCCCTCCCTAGAAAATGGAGAGATTAACACAGAATCATAAATTGAAACATCAGGATCTTTACGTACCTGTGCACGAGCAACCACACAAGCTGAATACAGCCTAGGGTCAGAAGGGTCTGGGGTTGTCTGATTTAAATGATTGTTTAAAACCTCCAGACTTGGAAGTATTAAACCTCCAGTGTCTATCAAGATGCATATTGGTTTTAAATCAGAAGAGTCAGGTGTCAATGACACCAAGCCCTCAAAGATGAATGGTTTGAAACAAGGATTAGTCATTTTGTCACCACAACCAGGGCTCTCATTACGGGGTACTGTTTTCACAAAACCAACACCATTTATTTATTCATAATTTGGCTGCGTTTTGCTTTTTAAAGCTAAACACTCAGCGATGACATGTCCAGGTTTGTGACAGTAGAAACATTCACAACTTTCTTTCAGAACTGCAGTTTTAACCATGTGGGTCTGTGGCACAGAGCTAACATATGACTTCTCATTAACATTGAAGGTTGACTTATGGGTAAGCACATACTCATCAGCAGGAACAGCAGCAGACACAAGCGTAGTCACCTTCTGTTCATTTAAATACAACACCACAAATAATTATAATATTGTGCAAACAAATAAACAAACACGATCCAGAATGCACTTTTTAAAGTCTTCCAACAGTACTAACTCATGTAAAGAGTCATTATTGTTGACCTTTGATGCAGCACACCACTTATCAAAAAGGATACCTTTTTATCTGGCAAACTCGGCATGCGTTTATCCAACAGCTTTCTTTTGTTATCGAAACTTCTGTCTATAGGCTTCTGGGACCAACTCATAAGCTTGTAACACAGCAGCTTTACCAATTTCATTATTTAAGCTGTCCTTTAAAAGGAAGTGCTGCCAACACCTCGAGCTTTACCAGAAAATTAGCATTGTAACAAAGAGGCCAAGTTTCTTTAGGCCACATCAAAGTACCAGCAATGTGTTCAAATGCTGCAAAGTATGAGTCAACCTCAGATACTTTGAAAGCAGGTATTAAAGAAATACACTTACTAGCATCAAATGGCATAGCAGACATGGAGGTGGAACTTGGTGTCTCAGCAGATGCAGGAGGTGTTCGAGTCTGGGCCTCCAGCTCAAGTCAGAGTCAGAGAGTCAGAGTCAGAGTTTCTTTATTGTCATTCGCACCTCATGTGGTACATGTGGTGGAGCGAAATTATGTACCCAGGGTCCCAGTTACATCCAACAATAAAATGTATAAGAAAAACAGTAATAACATCTAAGATATGAACTAAGAAAAACATCAACTAAATATACACTAAGCACTCATAACATAAAACATTGAACATCAGCACAAACATGAACATGAGTCTGTGAGCAGATGTGCACGCATGAACACATCAACATTGAAACAGATCAGCAGCAACATGAAACAGATCAGCAGCAACATGATATGGTTTTTCACAGTGATTATTCTAGTTAGATATTCATGAGTCTAACAGCCTCAGGGTAGAAGCTGTTCCTCAGTCTAGTGGTTCTACACTTAATGCTCCTTAACCTCCTTCCTGAGGGGAGTGGGGCAAAAAGTGTGTGTGCTGGGTGGGTGGGGTCCTTCATGATGCAGGTGGCCCTCTTCCTGCATCTGGAGGTGTAGATGTCTGTGATGGTGGGGAGACTGATTCCAACAGATTTCTGTGCAGCCTTCACCACTCTCTGCAAAGCTTTTCTTTCTGCAGCTGTGCAGCCTCCATGCCACACATTGATGCTCGAGCACAGGATGCTCTCCACTGCACACCTGTAGAAAGAGGTGAGGACTGAGCTTCCCAGAGCAGCTCGCCTCAGCCGTCTGAGGAAGTAGAGTCTCTGTGTTACGGTTTAACAAAATGGTACTCAAATACAGACAAGGCTGAGAGGGATGACAGACACAGATAATCTTTTAAGTGATTTTATTTACAGTGCAGGAAAAAGGGGATACGAGGTTCCTGGAAGGCAAAGTGCAGAGTATTAGCAGGGAGGCTTGGACGAGACTGATAATCAGAATTGAAGTAGAGTTCTTTTTCTTTCTTACAGGGTGACGACGAGGAGGCAGACTCAAGGAGGAAGAAGTCCAACAGGTAAGAGAGTCCACTTGAAAATGAAGATACCTTGAAGGGTTCTTGATGGGGGTTGTAGTAGAGGCGGAGTGGCAGGTTGGAGGACAGAGCTTCTAGAGGAGTTCAGTGCAGAGGAGGTTTGTCAGGTTTAGAAACTCCAGGTGTGTCCGAAGCTTGCCTTGAAATCAAAGAAGAACACGAGTTGAATAATTCAGAATTCTCAAGGAAAGGTACTAAAGTGGCTGTCTCACAATACCCCAAGGTGAACAATGATTCAGCGAAGACTGGAACCTCCACACAGGCTTAAATAGTGGCTGGACTC